CACCTCAGCCTCCCAAAGGCGCGGGATTACAGGTTGAGCCACCGAGCCCGGCTTGACATTTCCTTTTCTAACAGTCTCTCTTGGACTCTCAGGACACTATTTTTTTGTTTCTCACCCACACTCCTGAATGAGGCATTTTGTTCTCTTTCACTGATTCTACTATTTTCTTTCCAGTCTTCTGATCTCATTCTTCTTTCTCAAAAAGGTAGTCCACAGTAAGAGAGTTTGCTAGGTGTTTTTCCTGGACTACAATGCGGGACTGCTAAGAGTTTCTAACTCATGAGGATTATCATATGGAATAACTAAACTCATACATGTAAAATGCTTACTGTGGACTCTAGTGTGTGGTAAATACTCAATGAATGTCAGTTACTTTCTCTCTCACGCAGTTTCTAGGAGGTCTTCTCCCCTCCCCTCACTTCAACTATCTCCTCTAGACAGATGGTCTCCAAATCTGGATGTTCAGTGTGAGCTCTGGATTTTCACTTCTTGTTGAGTCCAGGGCAGATAAAAGAGCATGGGCTCAGGTGATGGCAGACAAGGGCTTGCATCCTGTTCTGTGCTCACAGCTGTCGACTTTGTACAGGTGACTTCATCTGAACATGTGTTCATCTCCTCATCCATAAGTGGGGTAATGATATTTGCTTCGCTGGAGTGGAATAAGCTTCACAGTGTCTATTTCCTCCATGGCATGTACCTTGCTCTATAATTATATCTCTCCTTCCCCATCCCCACTGAAGAGAAAGTAAGATCCTTGACAGCAGGAGCCTCACTTCCTTGCTTCCTACTCTATTTCTTGTCCCAGCACTCCCCTGGTATAGGCCACCAGGAATTCCTCAACCACTTTCTCTCCTATATTCTTTTGGCTTCTTAAAGTCAACATGTACCAAACCAAACAACTAATCATTGTTTTCCTGAGACCTGACCCACTCATTTAACAAACATTTATTAAGTGCCAATTATAAGATAAGCACAGGGTTAAAGGTTGAGACAGAGAAAACATGAGACATCATTGTCTCATTTATGGAAATGATCACTGTCTACTTTGGAGGTAGACAATAATACCAAATAATGCATTTGCAATAAGAGTACAGATGTTTCTCAGGGAGCCAAAAGCTCAGAGGAGGAATACTGTTTCTGACTGTAAGAGCTGAAGAAAGCTTCTCAGAGGAGGTGACCATTATCCTTGGTGTAGATGAAACAGTAGAAGTTTGCCAGGAAGAAGAAATTGTCAGATAGCAAGAAGAGTGTTGTCAGAGGCATGAACTAACATGATTTGTATTCAGCTGGAAGGGAGGGCTGAGACTATTTCCCCCTCATTTTCTAAAGTGGAAATTTCAAACATATACTGACATAGAGAAAATAGTATAACACTCACCTCTGTGTGATCGCCCAGCTTCAACAATTATCAACTCATGGCCAATCTTATTCTATCTATATCCCTACTCACAAAACACCCATCCCATTATTTTGATGCAAATCTAAGACACTGAATAATTTCATGTGTAAATACTACCTGTTATGATGGTTCTATTAAAATTTTATTTTAAAATATGTATGTATGTATGTATGTATGTATGTGTGTTTGTATGTATGTATTTGAGACAGAGCCTCACTCTGTTGCCCAGGCTAGAGAGTACTGGCATAATCTTGGCTTACTGTAGCCTTGACTTCCTGGGCTCAAACAATCCTCCTGCCTCAGCCTCTGGAGTAGCTGGGACTACAGGTGTGTGCCACCATGCCTGGCTATTAAAAAAAAATTGTAAAGATGAGGTCTTACTACACTTCCCAGGTTGGTCTTGAAATCCTGGACTTAAGTGATCCTCCTGCCTTGGCCTCCCACAGTACCGGGATTACAGGCATGAGCCATCACATCTGGACAAAAAATTTAACATAAATAAATACTGTGGTATCTTGAAAAGATTAAGTATCTCCTCTTTTTTCTCCTTAAAAAAAATCATACTATAACACCACAACTTGTTTGTTTGATTTTTATTTTAGTCATCTATCTGGTCATTATATTGTATCAGTATTCCATTTGTAAATATACCATAATTAAACTAGCCAACCCCCAACTGATGGGCATTTAGGTAGTATCCAGTCTCTTAACATTTAAAAAAAAGTTGGGAGAATTCCCTTAAACAGATATCTTTGGTCTACCTATGGGTATATCTGCAGGTTAAGTTCTTGGATATGGATTTCTGGGATCTTGTACACATGAATTCTGACAAGTGTTTCCTATTTAGTCTAATGGGTGCTTTGAATGATATGACAAGGATGCTTTCTCTCTACTGTCTAGGTTTTTGACACTCTGGAGTCCTCTCTGTCCCTTCCTCTATTTAATCAATCTACCATCTCAACTCTACCAGCCTGTCATCTTCCTCCCTCCATTCCCACTGGTGTGGTCCTGGCTCAGGCCCTTATCCTTTACCAGGGCAGCTACCAACTCAGCATGTATGCTAATCACCTGCCAAAGTGAACATCCTAAAATGGGAACTTCTCTGACTTAAACACCTCTGTTGGTTTCTCACCATCTGCAATATTAAAAATCCCGAAACGACTGGATAAAAAAAATGTGGTACATATACACAATGGAATATTACACAGCCATAAAGAAAGACAAACATTTGGACTTCGCAGCAACTTGGATGGATTTAGAGTCAATAATACTCAGTGATCTATCACAAAAGCAAAGAACAGGGTATCATATGTTCTCACTCATAAGTGGACCCTGAACATTTACCATAATGCTATAAGAAAGGAATTGGCAGTAGCGGGATACTGCCGGGGTGGAAGAGGGGAACACAACATCAATAAGGTAGCTGATCTCAAGTCAGGCAAAGTGGGGACCAAAGGGAGGCCCAAACTTTACCTGTATGATGTCCACTTGTATGCCTAATCCTGAATTGTACCCTACATCTTTAAAATAAAATATATATAAAAGAAAAAGAAATCCAACTCCTCAGCCTGCCTTCAGTGCTCTCCTGTCTGTCTCCCGCTTCTCAATCCTTTTTTTTTTTTTTTTTTTTTTGAGTTGGAGTCTCACTCGGTCGCCCAGACTGGAGTGCAGTGGCCACTCTCGGCCACCGCAGCCTCGACCTGCTGGGCTCCGGTGATCCTTCCGCCTCAGCCTTCCGAGTAGCCGGAATTACAGGCATGCGCTACCACGCCCGGCTGATTTTTTG